TTTGATACAGATCTTAGGTCTACTATCTAAAATAAAATAAATACAGCAGTGTTAGATCAATCAAATTCATGTTACATTACAAAATAATACAAAAAAATGGTTTGGTTATGAGACTACATTCTTCAATATTTGTTCCTCAGTTTCTGAAACTGTTGAGGTAGTTGATGAGGACTGAGAGAGCACTGTCAGGCATTTGAAAGTACTCGGAGCATCAAAAATTCCAAAAAGAAAAAAATATAATGGAACAATCCCTTGTTTTAAGAAGTAGGTAGGCGCATATATGATTACCACTGACTCTTATTTATCTCAAAACCGAATAAAATCCTATGTAGCATCCTATACACAAATGAAAAATACGAACCCTCCAGAAACAACTTTCTTGTCAAACACATGACTCTCCCGATAAACGATTTCAACCACAGGCTTGGAGGAACATCAGGATATATGGGTACACTCAGTCCTTGGAATCTAAAATGATTTAATTAGTGTTTTTGCCCTACCTGACAAATATTGAATTTTGAGCTTGGAAACTGAACTAGTTAAAATCACATAACCTTCTTAATCAGGAGAATATTTTGAATCTTCTTTTTGGATTATAAAATCATTCCAATTGATTTTTTGTAGTCTGCATAATATAAGCAATAATTCAATATTTTTTGTTATTACAAACCAACATCTACTTACACTACTTTTGTTTTTGGAGGAGATTGGAGACTCTGTGGCTGAAGAGTCTGAGCTGAGGTCTGAACCGGAAATTAATGTAGCTAATAAGTAGAAATTATATCAAATAGGTATTAAATAACCAACTTACTTTGAAGTATTGAAAACATTGGAAACAGGTGAAGAATCCCAACCAGATTTCAAATATCTAAATCCATTAGGCCTAGTGCATATATCATTGAGATTAAAATGATCTGAGCAAACATCAGCGATTCTGGGTAGTCGCTTATTTTCTAATCCTAGAATGCAAATCCATACACGCCTGCGCTCTGGATTTGTCGGAATCCTACAAAGACGCATATTTAACTTTAATCAAATATAAGGATTATTATTATTCTGCTTGGGTTTTTCCTATAAAAGTTCATAGTTCATAATTATCAAAATTAAAAACTGGTAACTCAAGGATTACAAGCTTCAAAAAATACATTATAGGTACCTTTCGGTAATGTAATAGGTATGTTTTTATTTATCTGATATATTATCTCATCAATCCAAATAATTTCCTCAATCTTGGAACGATATTTTTCTGGCGAAGTAGGTACATTATATCCTATTCTACGCCGCTGCTTTGCTATCATAATATAACCTCCTACTTACCTATGAAATGAAATTTCCGGGTTCAAATAATCCAATTTTTCACACATTTGACACTGTCTAACCATATTGCTGTATAATATTAGTCTTAAAACACATAAATAATTCACTTTCCAAACATAAAATATCAGAAAAACCTCACAAAAACGATTTCACGATGCTTTCTAACAAAAGGCAACAAGGCACAATCAAACTGACGTTAACTGTCAGCTTTGACGCCGTTTTACTATGCGATGTTGTCACATTGAAAAATAAATAAGGATACTTGAATAATAACAATATATTCTAAGCTCCTTTTTTACTAAAAAAAACAACTTGAAACTATCAAAAATCTGCATTGGGGAGTTTTTCTAGTTACTCAGTTTATTTGCACTTTTATCAAATTTAAAAAGGCCAATAAAGGTTTTTTCCAAAATATAATCGGCAACCTATGGATTCGTTTAGGATGGCGTTTAGACTTGATCGTTTAGACTATGCTTTCTCACTGGCGCCTCGTCAAAATGTAAATAACGGCCTCTATTGTTTTTTATTCCTCTGAGGGAAGATCAATAACAATCACCATCACAGAACACATCACGATAACTAAAATATTCGATACAATGTATAAACTTCAAACTCGGGAAATTTCCCATCAAAATATAACACGTGCATAAAATATTTCCTAAGGGAAATTTTTTAAAATTTCGTCTTTAGCCAATTTTTTTTAACAAAACTATTCGTGCATATGCACTCATGATTTTGTTAAAAAATTGGCTTCAGACAAAATTCTCAAAAATTTCCGGAAATAGTTTATGCACTAGTTATATTACTACTGGATATTTCCTATTTATAGCATATCAGAACCTACGTACTTTGATGACCTATATTTGCTATCACAGACACACGATCCTCTTCACATTTCAAATTTTTTCTTGCAATGATAATACCTTTAAAATATTTGGTTGAAATTTACGGGGGCCTATTTTCAATGTAAATTATGCCACCTTCTTTGCTCTAGTTCACCACTGACTTCTCAGTTTGACACACACAATTTTGGCATTAACGGCTTATTAAAAAAGTAAGATTTTGACTCAATACGAGGTGCGTTCAAAAAGTTTGTGCCAATTTCAACTGTACAGTGTATCCCATTTTAGATGTCCATAAGGGATAACTCGGTTGCTATTGGAGTTAGAAGGATGCGGTTTCCGCGAACGTTGGCTACTTTTTTGTCAAACCAAAGATGGCGCCAACAGAATTGTCATCGCTTCTATTGTTTTTCAGATACAAGGTGTTTTTGAAAAAGTTACATTTTGGGACACCCTTTGTATCTCGGTTCTCTCATAGGTGATCAAAAAGGTGACAACGGTTGCTTATAGATATTTTTACGTAGTCTCCACTGGCATAGTCACTTTTTCTCTTGAAGTGATATTTTTTAAATAATTATGAACCAAACATACGTTTTTTCAAATGAGACACCCACAATATTAATAGCTTATTGGATAGCTCTGTTTTCGCTGATTTCAATGATATAAAGTTCGATAAGTTAATCTCTATCATGTCCAGTGGCGCATCCAGGGGGGAGGCCATGGGGCCAGGCTCCCCCTAGGCCACCCCTCTAAAACTATATTTTTACGTACATGAAATGTAGCAACATCAAAGCGTGGCACCCTGACACCTAATTTTTTTAAAGATTTTTAGTCACAAACCACAACCTAATGTAGGGCCCCAAACATATTTTCTGGGTGCGCCACTGATCATGTCTGTTTTTGTCATAAGAAACGATGTATCAGAATAGGACTTTGCATCTGTAAGGGAAATGAGAAAGGTCTCTTCCTAACACATTGTTTCTTATGAAAAAAACAGAATAAAATTTTTTGCTCGAAAACTGCTAGAGACAAACCTGTCGAATTTTTTATCATTGAAATCAGCAAACGCAGAGCTATCCAATGAGTTTATAATATATAGGGTGTCTCATTTGAAAAAACGTATGTTTGGTTCATAATTTGAAAAATATCATTTCTAGAGAAAAACAGACTACACCACTGGCAGCTACTATAAGAAACTATTGTCACCTTTTCGATCATTTATGAGAGAACCGAGATACAAGGGGTGTCCCAAAATGCAACTTTTACAAAAACACCTTGTATCTGAAAAACAAAAAGAGCAATGACAATTCTGTTGGCGCCATCTTTCGTTTGACAAAAAAGTAGCCAACGTTCGCGGAAACCGCAACCTTCTAACTCTATAGCAACCGAGTTATCCCTTATGGAAAACCAAAATGGCACACACTGTACATACAGTTGCGGCCATTGGAATTAGGCAATCTCAATCATTTTATATGGCCGTTCAGGTCAAATCATGGCTCAAATATTGCGGTGACAAGCCGGTGAGATTCATAAGGAGAGCATTTGTGTTCTGGCCCTTGTTGTTTTCGAAGTGAATTTTATGGTGTTTCTACGTATTTTTTAATTTATTAATAAATTCTGAGATGGAGAGTGAATATCTTAAGGGTGTTTATGCCCTAGAAAAATGTTCGTCACCCTGATCTGTCGAATCGAGAGTCGCCATGGTTTTTCCTACACGTATTCATTGTCCTAAGAGGCCGTAACGTAGGTGGATTCCGCTTACCCCAGGTAGTGTATTCCGCACGGCAGCAGTGTATCACTGTCTTGATAAAACATGTCCGTCATCCGGCAATTTCGGCATTATCAATTAATTAGTGAAAGTGTTCAGTCGAGTGTTTACTACTTACTAATTATTATTGTTTGTTATTTGTGAATCAGTATGGGCCGAAAAAGAATAATTTCTACTTTTACCAAAAGTAGGAAATTGATAGCAAAAAATATTTGGAAGTAAGTACCTATATAGTAAAAAGTTGTGCATGATTTTATAATTATTATCAATATTTTGGTTTGCTCTAAAGCCTATTCCAAACCTACATACATTTTAAGTTTGTTCCCAGACATTTTTGCATCTTTATAAAAACTGTTTAAAAAGTGTTTGCAAATATTTGTTACATATAAAAACATAAAAATATCTTGACAAATATCCATATGCTTTTTGCTTTCGGTCCAGGATGTAAAACATGGACAAATGTTTCCGAACATTTGGTGTGGGCAAATGTAAAGGTCTTGACTAGGCAAAGACAAATTACAAATTATTTCGAGAAATAGGTTGACTGAATATCTCTCTCTTGATTTTGTTGGCTGTGATTGATGTTCCATCTCATTTTTGGAGTTTATAATCATAAAAACCAGGTTCCGTGTGCTTATAATATACCTATATATATAAACAAATACAATTCCATGATTTCCACTTTATTCGAGAACTTATGTGACATAACGGATCTTCAAAAAAAATGAATCAAAGAGTGCTTTGATTACGAAAACGCACATCGCAATATTGTTCCTTTATTGGTCAGGATTTTTGACATGACATTTTGACACAAAATTAAAGAAAAAATTTACGGTAAAAAAATCATAGTCATCTTAGAATAGTATATTGTGTATTTAGGTGGAAAAGTGACACATTCTCAGCCAACGGTGTGAGTTGACGGGCGAGGTGTAGCCGAGGCCGGCAAACACCGAAGGTCGAGAATGTACTTTTCCACCGAAATACACATACTATTTTTCAGCGATCGGTTAAATATCTGTTAGAATCAGGCAACGTGGATCTCGATGGAGCTGCAAGAATCACTGTCGTATCCGATGGATCATGGTCTAAGCGATCATATCGAAATAACTATAACGCAAGTTCTGGAGTAGGATGCATTGTTGGTTATGCAACAAAAAAAAAACTTTATCTGGGGATAAAAAATAAGTACTGTTCCATGTGTAAACTGTCAAAAGAACCGCAGTTCAAAAAAAGTATGGAAATGCATAATTTAAAATATGAATACCTAGTAGCAGATGGAGACAGCAGCGTATATAAAAAAATTATCGATGCAAAATTGTATCGAGGACTTCAAGTGAAAAAAATAGAATGCAAGAATCATCTGCTACGAAATTTTTGTAACAAATTGAGAGATTTATCCACGAAACGTTTGAGCTGTAGCGGTAAGACTGTACCTCCCAAATTAAGAAATGAGTTGAAATCTAACATTTTTAGACTAAGAACCGGAATAGAAAGTGCTTTAAAATATTACATAGGAAACAATGACATTTCCTACCAACAAAAGCTAGAATATTTTCGGAAAGACCTCGAGAACTCTACATATCATATATTCGGCAAACACGACAATTGTGTAGAATACTTCTGCAAGATAAAAAATAGCCAACTGCCAAATTTGGTTACAGCAATGAGCGAATGTGGTCTTTTAGAAGATATTAAAGGTTGTGTAAATCGTCTAAAATTCCACAGTGAAAGTTTAATGAAAAATTTGAATAATAACTCCGCAGAATATTTCAATGCGCTAGTGGCAAAGCTTGCTGGAGGTAAAAGAATCAACTTTTTCAAAAGAGGTGGTTATAGCGGAAGATGCTTTGCTGCTGCGACATCATATAATTCAAGAGGAAATTTATTGCATGTGGTACACAAAAAAATCACAGGGAGAAGCCCCGGAACATTTACCACGCGATTATTAAAAAGGCGCGAAAATTCCAGAACTAAGGTAAGACCAAAAAAAAGGAAGCTATTTACCGTGCAAGAGGCTGACGCAGAGTATGGTTTGGAAGCATCGAAACCAAAAATTGAGATCGAAAGCACTGAGATGGAAAAATTAAAAGACCAATATTTGGAAGAATTGAGAATCGCATCATCGGAAGAAGTATTCTCGTCTACAATTAATCAAAGTTTGTCACAAGCTTGGTTCTTAGAACGAAGAAAACGCTTGACAGCATCAAATTTTGGCAGAATCTGTAACTTGAGGGCTACAACTGACAAACAAAAAGTTGCTAAGAGCATATTAAGCCCAACATTTCAAGGAAATCGTTACACGGAGTACGGTATCGCAAATGCAAATGAGCTTAAAGCTATTGCGCAATTGGAACAGATGGTTTTCACAAAAATTAACAAATCGGGATTATTTGTCAGTAAAGATTATCCATTCCTGGCAGCTTCTCCAGATGGTCTTCTGGAAAATGATGGACTAGTGGAAATTAAATGTCCATTTGTAGCAAGAAATTCAACACCTGAGCAAGCCATTGAATCAAAGACAATAAAATTTGCTCACCTTGAAAATGGAAATCTGGTATTGAACAGAAAACACAAAAATTATTTTCAAGTACAAGGTCAACTATTTTTAGCTAGGAAACAGTTTTGCCTTTTTTGTATTTGGACACCGAAAGGTTGCATTTATGAGAAAATTGAGAAAAATTAAAATATCTGGTCAAATATGTTAGAAAAATTGGAACATTTTTATATGAAATTTTATTTACCGGAATTGATTAATGAGGATTATTTGTAATATAGGTATTTTATTTTTTGTATTGTCAATAAATTTTAATAAGTAAAGCAATTTCATTATTTGAAACTTGATTTCATAATACTCTTCCCTACCAATAATTAATTTGATTCAATAAAACGAGGCGCTATCAAAAATCGGGAAGTGTATAGTCAACGTCAAAAAATACAAATTTAATTTTGGTAAATCTTGCTTCTGGTGTAAATAATTATTATACCTATGAATTTTGGGTATCTTTCTTATTCTTATTACCTAGACTTGCAATTTACAATCTGCGTGTGGCTAAATTCAGCTGGTGTAGGCACCGTGGTGGAATGGTGGAACAAGCAGTGTTGTTAAATTAAACAGGGTTTGACAAGCTGTGGTTTGGCATTGGCATTAGTGAATTTTAATGTGATTTTATTTACGACTAATGTATAATGTGCGTATTATATTTGTGATTTTGGCAGTATAATGACATATGTTATTCCTCCAGGGATTAATGACGAGTAGCGGGATTAATGGTCATTATTCCACAAAAGTGTCAGTGTCAAACGTGTAGTGCTTGTGGATTTGTATTGAAAATTATGAGACGGATGAAATTTGTTCATTGAAAATCTCAAATAAATTAATTTGTCGTAAATAAAGTAGAGTATACTACTCGCAATAATGGCTATTATTCCCTCGGAATGTTACTCCCTCGCCGCTAACGCGGCTCAGTTCGTAATAATCCTCGGGAATAATAGCTATCATTATTGACTCGTGGTATAATCTACTATTAATCACCGCATCCGTGGCGGTGCACCATTTTGGTGAATTTAGCAACACGCGGAAAGAGATGGAATGAAATTATTTGACGCACTTCCATTTTGACAAAAGTGAAAATGATCCACTTTTGACAATAAAAATCGGTATTAAAAGTACCTAAAGTATGTTTTTTTTGTAAAGACAAAACCCTATGTCAAAAATTAAGTAATTATGTTGGCAACACAAGCCTTTTCTACGGAAAAAAATTTGAAAGCATTGACAATTTTACATTGTATTGCCAACATTATGTCATTTTGACTTTCATCCTTAATAAAAATACAGATCTTAAAGTCCGTTTTTTTTTAAGATAAAAGTCAATTAATGTTGGCAATACAATGTAAAATTGTCAATGCTTTTAAATTTTTTATGTAGAAAAGGCTTGTGCTGCCAACATAGTTCTATAAATTTTTGACTTGGGGAATTATCTTTAAAAAAAAAAACAGAGTTTATAAGTTTTCGTGACTGGTTATCGTTTTTTTTTTTTTTTTCTAAAGCCGCTATTTTCAATTTTTCCATTCAAAAATTCGTAGTCCGCAATCGTAAAAATCACCAAACATTGATTGACATGAAAATATAATAATCAAATCAAACAATAATTTTTTGGAGCTCTCATTCGGAATTTTGCCTTCGTGAAAAAAAAAAAATGTTCTAATCCTTGCCCCTAAAAATGTCCTTATGTCAAGTGGTAAGGCAAGGAAATTCTTGAAAAAATTTATTTTAAAACAATTTTTATCAGCGTTGTTGACCACAGATATACAAAGTGCGAACTTGAAATCCACCCTAAAAATATCCATTCAGTCCAACCCTGTACGCAAAATAGTCAAAACAAGAAATGTGCATATTTGAATATAATATTGATTGTAAAGTGCCCAAATAAATTCGGAAATATCGAAAGGAAGCGACACGCGGTTTTTGGCGCAAGAGGATGACAGGTATACTGCAAGAGCGAGATAGACCTAGCAGCTTAGTGGTAAAATTGAGCGGCAATCATGGCTTGCAGTACCATTTTCTACAAGAAATCCTGCTTTTATATCGAGTGTTATTCAAAAAAACTTTGTTTATTCCTTTAGAAAAATGAATATTCTAGTCTATCTACAAATTTTTATTTGATAAAAAAACTAGTAAAAGGGGAAATTTAACCAATCTAGATGACCTATTTTTGCCAAATTAGACATGCTCTAATTAATTCCTAGAATAATTTTTCTCAAAAAAAAAAGTCCATTGACTAGTTTTGAAACATATCTGTAGATTATTAAAAATTCGTCAGGAAAAAGTTTGTGAAAAAGCGTCAAAAACTCTTAGAAAATCGTCTTAAAATGTCGATTTTTCGGGCGGATAAACACCCTTAAGTATTATTATTAAGGGAAAATCGAGCCTCTGTTAGATCCTTTCTTTTAATTGCAGCAATCCATAAAGCCCTGCGTTGTTTTGATAATTCATTTTTGTAGGTCAAAAGCCGATGATAAAGGCTGGCCTTCCATTGGATACGTAGTCGTACGACTTTGCGGTCGTGCGTAGTCGTCCGTATACGTCCGACTAATCCCTTCACATAAAAATAATTAGAACTCATCCACTGCACACGAATTCGGTCGCACGACTAGATCCGATTTCATGCGACCCAATGACTGGTCCGATTTGAATGGGATTTGTCGGACGTTTTCAAACGACTTTCGGTCAGTATTTGCAATTTAGCCAGTAAGCCAGTGCCGCTGGCATTTTAATCAACACAATACCTAAATGACCTAAACACACAAAAAAATACAAAACCCGATAATTCAAATTTTGACGATTGTCCATAATGTGAGAGAATCAATGGCATACAGAATAAACAACACAGTGCTTGACCCGAACTTCCATATTGAATTTCGTTTTTGACAGGTCAGTATAGATTGCCTAATTTGACACAAAGTTTTGAACGCGCTTTGTATAAAGCCAAAACTGACACAATTGACCTTTTTAGGCGACTGTCACAAAAAGATTAGTTTTACGGATTCAATAACATCCCTAAAGTATAACTTTTTTGGCCGCATTTACTTTACGGCCGCATTTACTTCACGGCCGCATTTGCTTTATTACTTTACGGCCGCTTTTACTTTACGGCCGCTTTTACTTTACGGCCGCTTTTACTTTACGGCCGCTTTTACTTTACGGCCGCTTTTACTTTACGGCCGCTACTTTGGTGAAAATATATAAACAGACAATCGAAAACGCGGTGCCGTAACCATCAACACAACCAATAAACAATTAGTCAGCAACCACAATGGAACCAAATTTTTGATTTTAGCCCTATCCTATTACTTTTTTAAAAAGGCACAATGTAGGATACCAGGCGAAAAAGTCGGCAATTTTCTATAATCACACTTCCTCTATCGTAGTTTTTGTTACTAATAATTATGTATATCTACATTATCTACCTATCTTTGCTGGATTATTTATCTAATCAATAAAAGTTTAAAGCTACTGTTGAATTTTCGTCTTTTTTCAAGAACAAACACTCGCCTAAAAAATTTTGTGTGCACCTCGGCCGAATGATCTTTTTTGGCCTCTGAAATTTGCTTGGCCTCGGCTACGCCTCGGCCGCAAATTTCTGATTCGGCCAAAAAAGATCAACTTTACGGCCTTGGTACACAAATAACTATTTCAATTTAAAAGCTTCTCTCTCTGGCGTCAAACTGTCAGACGCCAAAAGAGTATGAAAACAACGGTTGACAGCCGCTGACAGTGGTTTGTTGACAAGACTTTTGTACATGTGGAAACTGGAAACTATTATTTCCTCGGTTTTTTCAAAGTTTTTTCCTAACAATGGTGATTGTGTAGTGTGCCTTTTTGTAAAAATAATTCCTATTTACCGGCGGACGTGTCTTTCCATAAGTTTCCATCAAATCCTACGTTTGTCAAATTTTGGATAAAATCAGAAAGAATACTCGCAAAAAAAAGGAATCCACGGCCCATCAAGTATACAAAGTAATCCTCGTTCAAGTTTAGTTTGCGGGAACTGTTTGCTTCCAAAATAATTCACCGCTTTCTCCATAGCGAAGTTCTGCAAATGAAGTAGTAACTTTTCCCAAAATTTCTTTCAAAACACCCAATACACACTGGCATTGACAAGCAAGCAAATGTTGGCGGGAAAATTATTGTTTTCATACTTTATTGTCCATCTCTTTTAATTGAAAACGTCAATTTTGGCATTAACGGACGGCTTGTTAAAAAATGGAAATTTTGATGCAATACAAGGTGAGTTCAAAAATTTGTGCCAATTAGGCAATCTCAATCACGTGATTTTATAATGGCCGTTCGGGTCAAATATTGCGGTGACAAGCCGGTGACGTTTATAAGGAGAGCATTTGTGTTGTGGCCCTTGTTGCTTTCGAAGTGAATTTTATGTATTTCTACGTATTTTCCATTGGTTTTGGTCATATTGTTGTTTTCATAGTGAATTTTATAGTTTTTAGTATGTCTACGTGTATTTTTTAGTCTTCTGGCCCTTGTTTACAAAGTGAATTTTATAGTGTTTATAATGTTTCTACGTATTTTTTTAATTTAATAATAAATTCTGAGATGGAGAAATGGAGAGTGAATATCTTAAGGTATTATTAGGGGAAAATCGAGCCTCTGTTAGATCCTTTCTTTTAATTGCAGCAATTCATAAAGCCCTGCGTTGTTTTGATAATTCACTTTTGTAGATCAAATGCCGACGATCTAAAATAGCAGGAACTGAATAAAATTTCACATTAGCCCTGTTACCTCAACTTCCACACCCAATTACGATGCAAATCGCTGGCATTTTAATTAACACAATACCTAAACACACAAAAAAACACAAAATCCGATAAATCACATCTTGACGTTTGTCCAGAATGTGACAGAATCAATAACATATAGAATAAACAACACAGTGCTTGACCCGAACTTCCATATTGAATTTCGATTTTGACAGGTCAGTTTATTGCCTAATTAGGCAATTATTAATGCCAGCGATTTGCATCGTAATTGGGTGTGGA